ATCAGCTTTGAGGATTCTCTCATTTTCTCCAACTTATCATGCTATCTTTTAATGATCATGTTATGACTATTAGAAGCAATTAAATTAGGCAAAGAAACAGTAGTTTCTAAGCGGCTAAAGTCAAACAGTCTTCAAAAGTAAAATGAATAGGAAAAAAGGTACCTAATAAATAAAAAAATAAAATTAGTCTCACTTTTGACATTTAAAAGTAAATGCCGATCTCATTCAGTCTTTTCCGCATGGGTAGGGTTGCAGTCTATTAAAAATTGCTTCAATGTTTTCTCAACCTGCTCCTCATAGTCGGTACATCGACTTTTCCAAACCGCACGCACAACACCTGTAGAAAAAAAAGGACTAACAAAATTAGAACAGATTTGATAAAACAAAATACTGGAAATGACTTAGTAAACTTGAAAGGTCCGACATCTAAAAATCCAAAGGGACCCTAGAGTTATCTTATCAGAAAGTGTCGTGATACATTTTTTTTTGTAAATGAGGTGTGGACGGAATTCAGTAACAAAAAACCAGAAGTAAAAGGGGTTTTCGATTATCTGTGGTTCTTTTCGGAATGGCTTGATCGAACCGAATCTGCCGAACCTCGCTGGCGGGACGAACGCTAAAATCGCTACGACACTTAGACATTACCTATGACATATCTATAGACATTATCTATGACTCCCCTCATGTTTTCAGCATAAAAAACAGAAATAACTACCCGGATACCTACGATTTAGAATCAGGGACCATGGTTTTTTTTTTGGTAAAAACAAAAAAAAAGGAAATAGGACTAAATATAATATCGCGACGATATTTCCGGTGATTTCAATTAAAATCGTTCGTAGAGTATTGTAAATTTTTCAGAGATTCTGTGCGTATCTTTTAAAAAATATTGTTAGAAATTCAAACATTAACTGTGGTTTGCAACGTTGCAATCGAGTTCAAAAAGCTCTTTTTCGCGTGGAACCATCGATATGCCAGTTCGTTTACGGCAGGCGTGACATACAACTATTTGACCACGAGTGTGAGCATGTTGCAGCTCCGCCGGATTGAAGGCGCGTCAGATTGCGAAGATGTCTTGCCCGTCCTGCCAAACCTCGCTGGCGGGACGAACGCTAAAATCGCTGCGATACTTAGACGATTCGTCATTATTTATGACTCCCTTCATATTTTCAGCATAAAATTAAGAGCTACGATTTAGAATCAGGGACTATGGTTTTTTTTTCAAGAGCCCTGGCATATGTCACAATTGCAGCTTCCTGCTCCTTAGTAAACACTGACCTGAATCGACCGAGCTTGCCTGATGTCACTCCTGACAGTAGTTTTCTCCGGACAGTTTTTTCATGCACCCCTACCTCCTTAGCAATCATCCTAATGGCACTCTTCTGTACCGAAAGACAACTGAGAGCAATTACGTTTCCACCATATATACTGGGTTTAAGTTGACTTGAAATACAGGAGATTTGAAGAGCGTTGGCATAGCTTTGTAACAAAAAAGTTGACATTGTCTTTAACAATGGAATATTTTTATTATACTAACATGATCTTACCTATTTCCTGGGTAGACATTTTCGCTTGTTGTTATCGATTCGCTTCAATCGTTCTCCGGCACAACCCAGCAGAGTAGAGTACCTTCTGAGAATTAAATTAAAAGACAAAAAATACACTAAAATGTGCGAAAACGATTAACGAGGTCGACAAATGAGAAAGTAAACATAACCTTCGAGGCAACACATGACATGCTGTTCCCCGCATCGTCCGCCATTTTTGGGTCCTAAGGGCTCCATTCAGCCTAAGATGGCTGAGACAATCAGAGGTGGTAACTCCAGTGGCCATACTCTCTCAATATAGGTACTCTAAATATAAGATGCAACCAATTTTACATGATGCTAAGTTTAAAGCCTTTGCGTCTGGTCCAAAGACTCCACCTTACTGTTCACGATTTACTCTCAGATTGTTTTTTCCGTTGTGTGCTCGACGTCGATCATGGTTAGAAGAGTACCAAGCTCTGTTTTAATTGGCGCATTGCCGACAGAAAGCATTAAATAACAGGCTCGATTTTTATGCCTAATATCTTATTTAAAATTTTCCGATGTGTATTGGATACCCAGCTATTTTTTCAACGCTAAATCGCCGAGAAAAAACCTTTCGAAAAGCAGTGGACGGTAAACATCATTTTGGCTGTTAATGCGCGCTGACAAACGTTTTCCGATACGCATTCGATTGCAAAGCTCCGTTTTGACTGTTAAATTACTATTTAGTCCTCAACATATCATCTCGTCAATCCTCTTCATCTAATCACAGGCGCAGTAAGCCAGGAGACTTTAACGCTGAGTTAGAAAAATGAACTAGATATAGATTATTAAGTCCTCTCTCAGAAACCTCAGTACCGCCGTTGGATCGATGTTCCAACCGACACTTGAATAGCTAAAAATTGTCTGTAACGACTCATTTCATCAATCCTTTTCATCTAATCCCAATCGCTGAAAGCCAGAAGACTTTAACGCTGAGTTAGGACAATAAACTAGATGAATTATAATGTATTCCTCCAGAGACTCCAATGCCGCTGTTGGATCGTTGTTCCAACCGACTATAGATTTGCCACTAATAGGCTCTCTGAAAAGTCATTCAATTTTTCATATTGATCTCACAAATTAGTCAAATAAATGTAATCCATCAGTGGTGAAACAAGCAATACGCAATGCTCTTAATCTAATTACTATCGCACTTAACGCTGCGTTTGGAAAATAAACTAGATAGATTATTATCGTGCCCTCTACCATATATTCCAGTACCGCTGTTGGATCGTTGTTCCAACCGACAGTTTAATCGCCTCCAATAGGCTTTCCGAAAAGTATTTGTGATGCCATCGATTTTTTATTCAACTGGTCGTATTGATCTTACACTATCAGTGAAATAAATGCTATCCGTTTGTAGTAAAACATGCCATGCAAATAAGACCGCAAGTATAATCCTACTTATCTGATTACAATCGCAGTAAGTTAGGAGACTTAAACGCTAGTTAGGACAATAAACCAGATTGATTATCATGCATTCTTTTAGAAACTCCAATACCGCTGTTGGATCGTTTTTCCAACCGACTATTGATTTGCTAAAAATTGGCTTTTCGAAAAAAGTGTTTATGTATGCCTTCAACATTTTGTTCAACTGGTCGTATTGACAATTATTGAAATACATGTAATCCATTTCAGTGGCCTGGCGTACTTCGCGAAACATCGATTAATCTCTCATTTAAACCTATAGAGAAGGACGATAAACATGGCGCTCGCGACGAACACCTTAATAATCGATTCTTTGCCGTAGGTTCAAATGGGGAAATATCTATAATCGATCGTTCACGCCTCGCCACTGATCCATTTATAGCGGAGCATTAAATGCAAAGACCCTACTCAATCTTATCAATCTAATCATAATCGCAGTAAGTCAGGAGACTTTAACGCTGAGTTAGAAAAATAAACTAGATAGATTACCATGCCCTCTTCCAGAGCCATACACTTTATCGCCAGGCTGTTGCTTAATCGCCATCGGATATAAAAGACCATAAGAAATTGTGTTGCTGGCTGTAGAAGCTTTTGGAAATCTTACAGCCGGCTGTATTGTATGTATAGGCCTATGGTAGTTTAGAAAACAGATTCTACTGCCAATTTGTACCAGGGGGAGGAATATTACAAGCTTAGGAAATACATTCTCAAGAGCATGAATTAGACTGTGTACTGCAATGCATGCAATTGCATTGTAAGTAAAATAATCCTTAAAGTAAGTTGACCAATTTCAAATTCTTTTGACTAATTATAGCAAAAATGGAGCCAATATATTAATGAAGCAAAATAGCTAATATAAATGTAGCAAAAATAGAGCTAGTACAAATATGGCTGCAAAATACAGCGAAAAAAGTAAAACCATGCAAGAAGTAAGGTGATAAATTGAATTGAGGAACAACACAAGTGAAGAAATCACAAAATGTATATCACTACAGAGTAAAGCAGCTCATACTCGATGCGTCTCGAACTTGGATAAGCGAAGAATGAGCTCAGATTTCAATTTGGCGTATGGTGTGTCAGTGGGAGGCGATATGAGTAGGTATATCCTCCACCTCATTGGCGACACAAGTATCTAATTAAGAGGAAACAAGAGAGTAGCGCATCATCTCGCTCGCGATATTCCACACATTAAAACTCCATTTAAACTCCAAACACATTTCCTAAAATGGACTCGACCTGGGAAAACCAAAGTTGAGGTTTCTCTAGGTTGAAAGGAGGCATTTTGATATCCTTCTTTACGCCGGTGTTTGCGGTAGCGGGTGGCCTTTTGTGAAGCTCTGCTCGATAAAAATTAATCTTCTCGCGCACAATTTTCATCTGCTCGAGGAGGGCCAAATTTCTGCCATTGGCTGCTTTGAGAGCGGGATCAATTTCATCGAAATTTTCACCTCCGGTAGCCCAGCTCAGGAGTTTCCAAATAGCGGAAGCGGTTATCTTCAGAGGCGGTGGAATGGTGATGCGTGAAGGCTGCAATCAATGGCGGTGTTCGTGGATGAGATCAGAAGGTATGTGCGTGTACTTGAGTCGGAGGTCACCACTGAGGGTGCTTGTGAACTTGGTGGCCCTAAAAAGGGCCGTTTTAGAGAGAAGAGCTGGAGCAGGTCGGAACGTGGCTGGAAAAAGTTGGAGCACTGGGCAGAGCCGTGAGGTGTGGCCGCGAGACAGTGACAGTGCACCCCATTTAAACTATGTGATATTATACAAGGGATATTGCTTGCCAGCATTTTTTCATCTCGTTTACCATGCTCAAATCGTTTTTCTGATGAAATTTTGATGAGGAACCATGTATTCACAAGTCATTTCTTTGACCCCAAAAAATTATTTATTGCAATATCTCCAACTTTCCTTTAATAATTTGTATGAATTTAGATATTTTTGGCAGAGCCAAAAAAAAGAAAAAGAAGAAAAAAAAAGTCTGATGAAGGAGAAGAAGCTACTTACGGATGATCAAAGAGTAGAGTGCCAATGCATTGAAAGGCCGTTTGTGAGGTTTATTTTTGGCTCGCCCGCCTTGAAGAGAGAAAGTAGACAGCAAACTTTCAGCCACAACTGCTTTCGCGATTCCTCGGGAAGAATTAGCAACACAAGAGTCATTTCGATGTAGCCAAGTGTAAGCTTTCACCTGCAAAAAAAAAAAAAAAAAAAAAAAAAAAAACAGTGAGTTACATTTTAAATGAGAGTGACTTCTTTCATCCAAGACTTTGAGAGCCCATTAATTTTTCCGTGCTCCTCTTTCCTGAGATAAAGAAAGAATTCAAGGTACTACAGTAAATGCAGATTCATCTCAGCTTCGTCGGTCCTGAACGCCACGATTTGCCTTTTGGTGAAGAGACTGTCGCTGAAGAGACTTTTGGCTTTTTCGCCAAATCGCCGGGAGGAATATCGGCTGATGGCGTCAAGTCTGTTCCTGCAGGGGCTTCAAATGCCGTTGTCCTTAGTTGATTATTGAAAAACTCCGTCATGCGGGCTTGGAATTCTTTTTCGAGGTCGGCTTTTCTTGCTAGGAACCTTTCTTCCACCAAAGCTTCCAATTCGGGGTCAGTGATCCCTGTAAAAGAATTTCACCTTAAATTTCTACGTTATGAGGAGTGAAATGGAAATTCTCCTCACCCACTAACTGAGAAACGTGGTTTACTCTTATGAGATAACTAGGATCGACGTTAGAAAAATTGCTTTTAAAATAATATGTTGTCTGCAATAAGAGGTGATTTCAGAAGATAAACGGTTCCCTACGAAATATGAGTTGACTAGTTGTAGGCGAAGGCTTAAAATCCAGTTTCTTAAGGAATGATGGGACCCCTCTCGCGAAGACAAAGCAACAAAACGTCTATTCTTACATCACCCCTCGAAAAAGGAGTCTTTAAATCACACATTGAAGAGAAAAGTTTTTAATTCACCCCTTGGAGAGGAGTTTTTACATCACACCTTGAAGAGAGGAGCCTACAACGTACCTATGTTGACAATCACAAGTCAATAATGGAAATATACTTACGAGATGGTGGTTTCTCTTCCTGTGTCGCTTCCGTGATTTTCATCATTTCAGAAACTCGTGTGTATTTATCATGTGGTGCGAGTTCACCCCTCGGGATGGTGGGCTTACTCCTGGTGATTCCTTTCCCCGTTTTGTATTGCCCAACGGGGTCCACGTTGCAATAGAAGTTTGATGGTTTGGTTGACATTATGATGTTGGTCAAGCACAGCCGGCGATCCTTAATTTCGGAAAATGCTTTTACTCTCCATTTGGCATCACCGTTCGACAAGTAATAAATATGGATTTTCTCTGCTGTGGGGCCTTTCGATAGGTTGAACCGCTTTCTCAAGAAACGTTCAACTTGGACGATCGTCTGAAAACATATATACATTTCTATGTAGAACGGACAAGTAAAATCATCATCCTGTCCGGGGAAAGAAAATATTAATATAAGTGTCATAAAATAAGTGTCAAATTCCTATTGCTTTACATAAGTTTGACGTAGACGTTTTAAGGGGAAACGTCGATTTAATTGTATCTCTAGGACGTAATTAGGTTAACGTCTATTAATGCCACAATTATGTCAAAGGAAATAGAATTACGTTGCAGTTTTACCCCCGGTTCCAATCACATTGTAACAATGCTAACGTCTTTAAGAAGGTGAAAAATTTTACAATGAAAAATGAAAAAAAAACCAAGCTGTCAATTCTCATACTAAGTGGTCAAGGCTAAAATCAACGAAATATATACGTACCTTCACGATTACATCCTGCCTGTAAATTGTTTTGTCAGATTTATCAACGCATGAATAAAAGCGTTCCGAATCCCACCATATGTCTCCTACATTAGAACCATCCAGCTTCTTCTATATCGTGCGATATATACTTCGAGGTACCAGTGCCGCCAGATCACGGCGAAGAGATGGGACTCTGTACGTGGAAGAATTAAAAAATATGACTTGTATCCAAGACTCGTGCACGCTGGCTATCAAATTTTTTGTATAGGACTTTATCAAGTCCTAACAGAATTTTAATAAGATATTGAAGGACTTTTCACACTAAGGAATGCAACAAAGGGAATAACACTGTATTGCCTTGACCATCAGGGATTCCAAAATATTGTTCAGAGATTTTGAAAACAGCCCAAAACCGATGATTTGACAACCTCTGCCCTTTATAAACACCTAACTCACTACTGTTAATGTGCGGATCACTGTAAAAAGATGTTAAATCTAGAAACTTCCGACCAATCAACACTTTCTCGCCTTGTGCAGACAATGCAAAATTTTCTATTTTGATAATAGAACCATTCGATAAACGACAAAAACAATCAGCGGCATTTGATATTGATAAATTGAAGCTGGAGGATACAGCACTTTTGAACTGGGGATTTCGGAGAGATGGTAGAAGAGGCCCATCGTTGTGCTCAATGCGAAAAGTCAACTCCTCAGACAGAGATGGACCAGGACCATACAGTTTACCTTCCACTTTGCAGAGGCTCCTGCACGTCAACGTGTAACTTCCGTACTGCCATATATCTCCGTTGTGGGGTATTCTTTACATTCTACTGTTTCTATCTTAAAGAAAACCCATTCACACCAATCTTTTAAGTTTTCGCAACAAATTTTTCCACAGCGAAGAAAAACAACAGAATTTTTGGAGAATCTATTTGTATTTTTTGAGCGTAATTTTTTGGACATAAGTATTTCCCCCAAAGGGAGGTGCCGAATTTTCAATTTTTAATTTATAAGTGATTTGTAATCCTCATCACCTAAGGTAACCTGAGGTATGAGTATATGATCGAGAAAAACTCATTTCATCTTGCACGGAAGGCTTAGGTATGAAAAATCGCGACGGAGAATGGGGGATGACGAATTAAATCAAACGGAACTATGCGCAGCATAATATATTACATGCCGGCATAAAAATATCGACAAAAGCAAAGTTGACCATAACAGTTTACAGCTAGGTAAGACAGCACATCGAAACTTCGTTAATATAAAAAATTTAGATTTTAGCTGTAGGACAAAATTTTAAAATTTCATTGCCCAACAAATTTGGTAAGTATAGTCAATTCAGATCATTCACATATCTTCCAACAAGCTATGTCAATATTTTTTAATATGACGATTAATACTTTAGAAGGGTATTTGCCATTTATCAAAAATCTTTGCCTATTTTTGTATATTCTTTTTTGGAACTTTTTGAACTAATTTTGAAATTCAGCAAAAAAGCGGTTAAATATAGTTTCTTATACATAAGAGAAAATTTTAGTTCTCTTCTTTCCTTTATTTTTTTATTCATAAATCCCCAAGTAAATAATTCCTGCGTTCGGTTCAAGTTCCAATCCCTCCTTACTCTCTATTTACCAACAAGCCGTAAGTAATTATCGTTTGAGACCACCAAACTCAGTGTGTCTGATTTGTGATTTCAAGAGTGCATAAATTCTTCATCAGCCAACAGTCAGTTTGAGATTTGTCGGTTACTGGAAAAGGGGAAAAGAATGTGACGGCAGAACTCACAAACCAACTAATAGCATAGCTTTTTGCAAAGGAAATTGTACAACTAACATTGTAGCAACTAAATTGCCCGATTAAATTTGACAATAGCTGATGAGACTTGGTTCCTTTCTTCTTTTGACATCATTTTGCAAAAGGTTAAGAGTTAAGAGGTTAAGAATTCAGGAAAAAAAGAGGCTAACGATTTAATAGGTAATTTTTTCTTTGCTTTTTTGATTTTTTCCAGCTCATATCTCCAGGGGCGGACTGGTAGTTGAAAATTTAGGAGGCGACCAAGATTTGGGGGCCCCACCTGTCGTTTGGGGGCCCTTCTAAGGGGGGTCTGGGGGGCCGCCCCCCAGAAGGAGGGGGGTTCGGGGGTCCTCCCCCGGAAAATTTTGAAAATCTTACACCTTTTAAACGCAGTTTACAGCATTTTTTGAGCCAAATTCAAGAGTATTTGAACTTCAAAGTAACCCATTTTAGATAGGTCATTCGGGAGAGGAAAGTCGTCAATCAATGAATAATTACTTTCTTTTATTATTCCTCTTTAACAGTCGACAACACGGAAAAAAATAGGTTAGTCGAAACAACCAGCAGCTAGTTAAAAATGCGCCAGCTACCGTGCGGTATAGTTACGATAACTACCACGCTGGAGGTCGCAACTAACTCGGTAGTTCGTAATTACCGCACGGTAGCTGGCGCATTTTTAACTATAGCCGCTGGTTGTATCGACTACCCTAATTTTTTCCATGAAGGCATGTGGACTTTCCTTTGCAAGGTCGTCTCACCATCCACCATCCCATCACCCATCCCTCCACCACCCACCATCCTGGTCCATTCACCATCCCTCTGTTGAAGTGCACGAGCAGGAGACATAACGCAATGCGCGAGCATACAAAAGTCATACAAAATTCAAAACTGTAACTTTACTGAGCATCACAATTTTAAACAATAGAGAACAAAATAAACAAGTATAATAGGCAATCGTAATAGAAACAGACATAATTAACACAATTTAAACTAGGAGCAATCGCTTCAATAGAGGGCTCGTTGCCGCAACATTGTCGATGCAAACATTCTTGTTTAAGTTCTTGCGTAAATCTCTCTCTCTATGGCAAGTAACATTAGAGGAGCCAACAGGTCTTGGCCTAGTGCAGACCTGAGTCTATTTTTAATGATTTTCAATTTTGAAAATACCCGTTCACAGGTCACTTGGGTACACGGGAGCGACAAAATATACTTGTATGCAAGGTACAAATTATTAAATAAACCGGTTTGAACTGTAAACTCATATAAAATCTTGAAGGCACAATGTATGCAATTACTATCAGTACTCTTGAGATGGTCCGGACGGATTTCTTTTTCCTCCTCTTCATCTTCCTCCTCCTCATCATCAGTAAGGACCATCGTCAAAAGCTCGTCTAATACTAATTCCATAGATTCGCCGCAAGTATTGAAATCGCTCGCCTCTTTTGACTTCAAAGCGTCATATAGGCTTGCAAATTGCTTTAGCTCTGCAGTCAAAGCACTTTTGTCAACTTTTGCTAATTTACAAAGTGTTTCAAGGCTGCTAGAGGAAAATGAAAACAAGGGATCCTTGATAGTGTTGAATTGTTTGGGGTTCAACCAGGAGATATCCAACATTAAATCCTTGTTCGGGACAAATCGCTTTCGTAAGCTCCCCAAGACTATATCGTACACCTCAAAGAACTTTTGTCTTCGAATCGTCAAATGATCGAGATTTCTTGCTTCGTCGAAGGATTTTTCATCGAAAAACTTTTTCTTCAACGGAACGCGTTTTTTAGGAAAATCTTCCTCCAGACAAATGTTTTCATTCTCGACAAACGCTTCATTAACTTAAGTCACAAATTTTTTCGACCTTTCGTAAACTTTTCCAAAATATTGCTCATTTCGACGGTCTTTAATTTGAGAAATGAGTACGTCTACCACATTCCATGCTTGCAAAAAATCGAGGCTTTTTGATTGCAGAAACGTAGATACAGGTGACGTTATATCAAATAGATCAAGCATAACAAGTGCTGCAAAAATATTTTCGAATTTGCTCCAAAGATCTATTAGATTTCGAGCTTTAAATTTGGTTTCCGAATCAAAATTTCCCTCGATTATTTCCAAAAGGAATGATAAAAACGTTACAAATTTTGATGACTGAAGGTCATCAATGTTACCAAACAATGAAGTCAGAGCTTTGTGCTTACTCCACCATCTGGTTGCACCTATGTTATG